TATTTTAAAAGGGAAATAATCTATACAATACCTGTGATCCCACTAAAGTGTGCTAATAAATCTTAAAGGATTCATGTTTTAATATAATTGCTATCTCAGTATTATGGCTTTGATTTCCTCTTAAAAGGAATTAAAGTATTCTCAATACTATTTTTTATCTGCACCATATAATATTAAATGTAAACACATATCTTTGGCCTCACTATGAAACTAAGTACAAAAAGTTTTGATTTTGGGCTATTTGTGATTTTAATTTGACCTAATGTTTTACAAAAAAAAAAGAGAAAATGTATCTGGTTGTAAATTAATTAAAATTATTTTTTTTTATATTTTCTAATCAATCTGATGCATCAGTTATATGGCATTTAGCTGAAGGAATTAACCCACAGAAAAATAAAACCACAGAAAAGACGATGGTGTTGCATGGACAGACAAGAAAGAAAGAAAAAATCTTCGTTCAGATATCTTCAATGCAAAATCAATTTTAAATACATATGTATGCATATATGAAATTTTATTTTGGCTGTACTGCAATGTTTTGAACTGACAGTTTAGTTAAAATTAAATTTTACTTGATTTATAGCCTGCTTTTGAAAGGTATTTCTTATTGCTTATTCAACATTTTAAAAAAAATATTGGTTTGTTTGTTAACAGGGTGGTATAAAAAAGACGATCCCGTGACTAAAAATAAATAAACATATCCTGCATATTGTTAAACTCCTATTTATTTAGGCATTTTTTTTTAAATTTCATTTGTAAATATTCATCTGTATTGAGGGTATGTTAAGATTCAACTCTACAAAAAATTAATTTCGATAAACTATAATAAATAATAATTTTATAATTAATTATTATCTAATATTGATAGATCTTCGTAAGATTTATAACAGCTGATATATCATTTGTGTATTACTTTAAAGTTTAAACATCTAATTAGTTTTTAAAATAATTTTGAGACTCTTTCAGCGATAGCTTTAAATTAGAATTTAATTTGTTTTTTCAATTAATGAACTGAATATACATATTTAAGCATTACATTAATAGAACATGAAGTCAGAACAATATGTAACTTACCGACACGCCCTTGACATTCTCACCGTTCGAGGAATTCAATCCAAGGTCTGTGCGTCTATTATATTATTGATAGTAAGTTGAAAAATGGTTTAGCTAATTTAAAATGATAAGATCGTTTTGGTCCCTCCTTCTCTTTAACCATGTTAGAAACATTTTTGTTACAATTTACGGACAAGGTTGACGAGAAATATTCACCGGTAACTACCATACATGCCTCAATGTCCTGCACTGCTGCAACGATCCTATTTTCGAAATATTTCCCTATTGGTAAATTCACAAGGAGTTAAACAAATGGTTATTTTGAAAGAGTCGAGTTCTCCACTGAGCAGACTATCAATGAGAACACCTTATGTCTTGGAATTAACATTTAAAAGGTTCTTCCGCTTTCTCTGCCAACTTCTCAATTTTCTTGGCTTCAGCAACTTGCAGGCGGTTTCATCACAATTACATCACCCGCCACTTCCCAAGTTATATCTTTTGGATGCAACCCATTCCAGAAAGGACGCCTTGGTTAATGGCTCGACATCGACAACAAGGGACTTCATCAGCACTGGAAATAAGTCCTTGATTGACTTATTTTTATATTTCCCTTTACAACTGAATAACACCTACGTAGTCACAATAGTGCATGACTTCTCGCGTTTCTATTTGGACTGATGATCCTAACGAAGATTATTAGTTCTTTTAATTAAGGAAAAAGACGTTACATAATAGTTTACGTGTGGTAAAATCATTTTGTGGGAATGGAACGAGCGGGTGAGAAATGGCTTGATAGAGGTCTAGGAAAGGAATGTTATTAATAGCAATTGCGGTTTGTGCAACCTCGTTAATGTTCCGAGTTGGGATTCAAGGTGTTTTACCTTTAGCGGTTCACTTAATTTATTCCCTCATTTCTCATTTTCGCCATTAGTACATCTTAAATATATAAATTATACGTTTTGCTCAAATCATGTGATGATTTTTGACTTCCTAAACCCAGTCACACAACCTTTAAATATGTAACAAATTGTATGTAATAATCGTGCAAAACCTTTCTAATCTAGGCAGTGGTATTCAAGTTAGCATGAATGAATCCTTAAATATTATTCAATGCGTTGTAAAATATAGGTGTTGCATTAAGGGCATTAGAGAACAATTGAGATAAGTTGTTTATTCCTTTGAATGAATTAAATATACAATGATAAATGTTATAGATATTTCTTTTATTAGAAAATCAATGTTTGTAGTTAGGACATATATATAACCCAGTGAATAAGTGGTTATCATTAAATTATTTTGTTTGATTTGATTAATTTCTAATTTCAGTATACTTCTGAAACCCTACCATTTCAGGATAATTTTAATTTACCATTGAGATCTTCCAACTGCTTTCGTTTAACAAACCTCTTGGTTGCACAATTTTACCTTCCACAAATATCTTATATTATAAAAAACGTTTATTAAAAATTTTATATAGTATACATACCATACATCCCATATAAGCAAGTGATCCCATATCTTTTATTTTAAGCTGTAAAAAATAGACTCATGCATTCATTTGAATATCGTGAACTCATTTTTTTTTCTTATTAAATTCGGTTTTCATGGTTGGCTTACTTACAACCAATGTTCATTAGATTTTTTAAATTCGCTTACATAAGTTAAAAATATAATACAAACGCAATAAAAATAGCGATAGTTTAAAGCAAAACAAAATATACTTCACTTTTCCTCAAATTTATCTATTTCATGATAAAGAAAATTCGTTTATTTATCTTTTTTTCTGATTTAGGATGTTACTGATCTTTATTACCTGTCATCATTGTTTATTTTTAATAATTTGGGTAGATTGGCTCATTGAAAGTTTCAAAAAAACTCTAGTATGGTCGTCGTTTTCCAGTTCTCGATAATTATTTTAATTTAATTTTAAGTACATAGGCATCTTTCCGAGCGATCCGATTTCCCTATTTGTTTTAATTACAAACTAGGGAGCAATTTGCGAAGATGGATGTAGGTGGATGACGTAAGTTTTCCTCCAGCTAAAGACAATGCTGGATTCTAATGTTGCAATCACTAAGTACTAATTGGATCAGGTTATTACCTGACAATTTTCAAAATTATGATTTGGTGCCTTTCACTTGGTCAGCGTATGTAATGGGTGTCTTCATGTCATGGAATTTTTGAGCAATGTTAAAATTTTCAATTTACCCATTTCACTTCCATACATTATAAAATAACGATTCCAGTTATGGATAAATGATTTACCAATTATCTTAGGTATTATTAATGTCGTTTTAACATCCATTGCTTCATAATAACAATATTTCTATCGTCATCACACACCCAGCTTTATTAGTTCTTGCTATGCACGTTAGGTTATTGAATTTCTTGTTACTTATTTATTGTTAATTTAATAATTCAAAAAATTTCAATATCATAAATAATAGTCGAACAAAGTTTTAGGAAGAGAAATTATTCAGTTTTTTAAATGGGCTTTAGAGATAAGGTTTTTTTTTCTGATTCTGAGATTACTCAATCCTGCAGAAGTCAAAGTAAAATGTATAAATTTTATTTATCAAAGATTAATGACTACGAACGTCTCTCAATTTTTTTTTCAAATCAAATTTAAGTTGGTAAGTCAGTCAAATAATAATAGCCCATTAGTCGAAGTCAACAGGAGTAGGAAAAAAATGATAATCCATGTACTACAAAATTTAATTTACGACTAATAATTTAATAAACTATTGCAATAAATTGATTTTTGTTTTAAGCTTTCCACTAATATTACTTAAAATTTTACAAATATTTTACATGTATTAATCAACAAAATAATTATGCGATTATTTTCAAATTTATTAACAACTACAGAGTTGGTGAAATAGTAATTCTGCTAAATCTAACCCCAATTTTTATTTTATTTAATATAGGACTCAGCGTTACGCTTCTTTATTCCATTATCTTTATTTCCACTTCGAATACAAATATTTTAAATTTATAAATAAATAAAATCTTTAACAAAATAAATGAGATAATTGGCCGCAGAAGTAAGAGGACGTCTTCAAGAACTACAATAAGGAGATGCGGAAATCTATTATTGAAGTTGATCTTCAACTCCTCGAAGAAGCCCGGCTGATTATTATAAAGCCTGATTTTAGTATAGGTATCCTTTAATTTATTTTAATCTCTCAGTTATGTTTTCTGTATACCCATTTTTTATTATTCTTTTTTTCCCTACTGTACAATTAGGAAAATACGAAGTTTACCCTAACCATGTAATTTAAAAATGTTTAAGATATATGTAATTTTCCATACATTCATGCATTATGCTTAGTGCATGGAACATGTAAAATTTAACCAATAAAATTACCTTATAAAGGATCACTGTATGAGGGAAGCAGATAAAAAAAAAATAATTAAGGACTCATTAAATTCAATTTAAATTTTAAAAATATATAATAAACTGCTCTCATCTATTGGAAGGAACTTTTAAGTCAATATTGAATATTCTTCAGTCCCTTAATTTTTTAAGGGCATTTTTGAACGCATTTCTTTATGAACTCTCTCAATTTTATAAAAGATAAAAAAATTAACTTAATTTTTTTTTCTATAGGAAACTCCTACTTCCGGCTATATCTCAATATCAGAAAGCAATTGAAGAAAGAACCCATTAAATTCCTAAAATGTATAAATCCTTAAAATCTTATGTCCTATATAAACTTTTCTACCATAATTCATCTTTCGTATTTTATTCATAAAAAATTAAAAACCTGAATATAATCTCCACTTTTGATTTATTATCGCAAGAAGATAAATGAGAATTTGATTGATTTTATTATTTCCTATTACGATTTGTGGTAAAAAATTTGATAGCTGATCATAAATCGTTTTGAGCTTTATAATTCTTATCATATTATAATAATGATTAATAATGAATTCCTTTGGCTTACCGCTATTAGGTATGGTCCTTTCATCTCGGTTGGTGCCTGACTGGGAAACTCCCCCTACCATGGGCTGGTTATATACTCGGTCCCGCTATAGCCTATCTTTCGTCCCCCAAGGGGCACGCATGTATGCTCATGTACTTTCAGATTTGGGAGGTGTTTTTTAATTAATATGTTTCTCCTAACTTAACTAAATGTATAAATAATCTAAGACAGCTTCATGATTCAATAATAATACCATAGGTTTTTAATAGAAACATTTACTTATTGCATTCAATCAACAATCGATTTAAGTTTTAAAAATACCGCAATATTATTTCAACAATATTTTATGTAACATTTTTAAATTATCTAAAATAAAACAAAAACATCTTGAAAAACCTATATAGTATACTCACTCCTTTTTACTAGTTATGGTAATATTTTGATTTAAAAAAAATTCTTTTATAAATTTACTGTTTTCTTTTTCCACTTTTTATCACATTATTTGGCCTTTTATTTATTGCATTAAAAAAAAAATTCATGAAAATTACTTTTAATACATCGTACATGTTCAAAAGATGTAAAAGTTGTTTTAGAAAGAATAAATGAAAAATTTCCGAAAAATTAAAATTAAATTATGTTAAATTATTTTAATATTTACTCACCATTTATTGTGAAGAAATAATTTTTGCACAAATAAAGTTTTTGATGACATAATTTTTATACAAAAAAATATATATATAAAAATGTTTTTGAATCATTTTTAAATTGAAAGTAATTTTCAGGAAAGTTGTTTTTACTGGAATAAATAAAAGGCAAATTGATGTGATAAAAATTGGAAAAAGAAAGCAACTAAACTTTAAAGCTATATAAGAATTTTTAATCGACATATTAATTAATTAGTACAGGAGAAATACTATATAGTTTTTAATTGAAGAGATGGATGGCTGGGGTGAAAGTCAAACAAAAAATAATAAAAATAAATAATTATATTTATTTTTATATTTACCGACGTTTCGGCCCAAAGACAAGCCCTTCTTCGATTGACCAGCCTGATGAAGGCCTGAGCTTCGGCTCGAAACGTCGGAAACTATAAAAATAAATATAATTATTTATTTTTACAATTTTTTTTGTTTTGACTGACCACCCCAACCATCCTTTTCTTCAATTATTCACCACAGTCAACCATCAACCCACAATTATAAAGATTTTTATGTTTTATTCTAGATTATTCTATAATGGCTAGTAAAAACCGGAAATTCATAATATATATTAAATAATATCGTCTTGTTAAAATTTTTTTTATTATGGAAATAAAATTTTGGAAGTATCTTAATTTTGTAATTATAATTTAAAAACATATTTTTCCGACTTCATTTATAAAAAAAAGGCAAATTTATTAAAAAAGAAATTTCGGTTGATTTTAAACCGATTGTATTTTATTTGCTCAATTACTATTATTGTAAAACAGATTTTAATTTAATTACTCATGTATCCTCCTCTAAATTTTTTATTAAAAAATTTATTTTTTCTTTCTAAACAAGTATGAACTCAGTGCACCAAACCTTTTTTTAGCTATTAATTTAGTTCAATAATTAATTATCTCATTAATTAAAAAAATCTTAGGGTGCTAAGAAGTATAGTACGGCAACAGCATCCTTATGTTTTTATTTTGCATATTTTTGTCGCTTAAGTGAGCATTGAAATAAAATATGTTGCACTTATGTTGATCTCAAGATGACAAAGCTTTTCTTTATGTATATATAAATAGCCAACCATGAAAACGGAGTTAAATGAGAAAAAAATGAGTTCACGATATTCAAATGAATGCATAAGTCTATTTTTTACAGCTTAAAATTAATATATGGTAAAAATGAATAAACATTATATTTACTTAAAAATTTAAACTAAAATTGCAACAACAAAAAAAAAAGAATAATTTGATATTCTTCTTTATTAGATCAGCTATTCAGTCAATCTTACAGGAATGAAAGAACCTACTAAAAAAATAAATAATTAAAAATAATTATGTCCTTGTAATCAGACAAATAATCAATTACTTATATGGTATGTGTAATATAACAAAACTAATCTACGTTGTCGTAAGCATTTCTTCAAGTATACATATATGTATTTCATATACATATGAAATGCTGTTGTTTTATTTTTTTTTTTGTTTAAGATACATTTTCCAGTTCTTAATGTTTAAAAGGAATTTCCAGTAGGGCAGCTCATGCATGACAGAGTCCGAAAAATGTCGGATAACGTCATATGACATCATTCACTGAATAATCTAGTCACTAATCCCTGAATACATCATAGGAATTTATATCATGTACTATAAAATTTTCATATTTATTAGTGCTCACTATTGCGATTAAGCTATGCTTAACGTTAACATTGTTTATGACCATAATTGGAATTTATTATATATTTTTTATAACCAATTCAGTGACAATGGCGTTATCATAGTTTCTGTAATTATGTGATTTATTTATGTTTTTTCTAGTCCAAATTTACTAATTAAGTTAATTTACTAATATATATTGAAATTATGTATATATTATATGAATGCTACTTATTAAGTAATTATGTATAATTAACTAATATATTTTAATTGTGTATGTATTATATGAATGTTAATTATTAAGTAATTATGGATAATTAACTTAATTGAATACATGAAACTTGGCACTGTCCTGAAGGTTTGAATTGCCAAATTTGGACGAAAGTAGTGGCGCTGTGGATTATATTTCTGACCTTTGGTATAATATTTCATATATTTAATCATTTTAATAATTCTAAGCTACAAAATATTTACACATCAAATTGTTACATACGTTGACCTATATATGTATATATATAATATATATATGTATATTTTTGAATTTGATTTGTATTTACACACACATATATATATATATATATAAAGTCCTTATAAAGGGTGTCCCGTAAGTAGAGAGAAATATTTAAAGGGGTTCATAGTTGATCTTGAGGGCAACAAAAAAGTTGGTCCTATTTTCAACAGGAAAGTAGGAAATTAAAGTTTAGTACTTTTTTTAAGTAAGCCACGTTAAAATCATTTGAAGAAGACTTTTCAGCAGATAAACTTAGCTAAGTTCTGTTTTTAGAATAATCATAAATTATTCGCCATTTTTTTTATCATCACCCAACTATACTACACATACCCCACTTTTTGAAAAACTTTCTCGTTTAATAATAAGCTTTAAGTCTATTCTAATTCAGTTGAGGTTTATCGAAAGTAGAGTTTGTTAAAACTATTTAAATTGGACTATTGGGCAGACAAACACATCTAAGTCTCCTTTAAAAAAAGTCATAAATTATTTTCATTTTGGGTGATTTTTTTTTCATCACTCTTCAATTGTACTACCTTTAGTCCACTTTTAGGAAAATTTTTGTTTAATAAGCTTTAAGTCCATATTAATTCAGTTGAGGTTTATTTGGTATAAAAAAATTTGAGAATCGCCTCAAATTGTGTGAACAATGATGTGATCTTTTGTCCTGTTGTCTAAAAGTACTCCTGTTTTCAGCAAAAATGACAACAATTAATTGTTGCAAAGATTTTATTTCATGTATTTCCATGATCTGGGATGTTTTATAATTAATGTAACTGCTTAAATAGAATTAAAAAGGAAATTATTTTTAAATAATTATTTAATGTAATGTAAATCATTTACTGTACTCTTAATATATAATATAACATTACCGGCAGACCGATCTCCATGCCGTGTAATATTTTCTTTTTTCTTTTTCAGTGTTAAATTTTGTATTATACGTTATTGATAACAGAAAAGTGCCTTTTTGCACTTAAAATGCTCTCAATATTTCTTTTCGAAATTTAAAAATTTTCAAAAACTAAACATCAAAAGGAAATGCGGTACTTCAATTAATTTTAAAATCCTATTAGATTTATCGGAGCATGCACTTAAAAAAATAAATAAACGCTAATGAATGTTCCTGTCCCAAAAGTGAGAATACGAAGTTCTTCATGCTTTGATATGACAAAATCTGTATCCATTCATTTTCGATGGTATTTTGAATTATAGATACCTTTTTAATTTGTCTCAAATACTTTGATTGTAAAGTAGGAAAATTGGTTTGTTCCCAAAATTTGGAGAAAAACGTTGTAACGAATGTTACAAGCTTTTCATACAACAAATGTTCCTTTAATATGATTGAAAAGGGTTTAAAAGCAAATTCCTCTGTGTAATATAGAGGCATAAAAGAGCTGACTGGAGAATATACATTTTTTTCTTCCAAGATATGCTATATCGCAAAAATGTATATGTAAATGCGTAACGAATTTTACTTAACATTGTTCAATTAACATAATCGATGATAACTACAAAATAAGTAGTTTATAGGCATTTATTTTAGGTTAAGGCTTCAGATATGTCCAACATTTGGTTAAATCAGTAAAAGTGATATTGTATGAAAACGTAAGGAATGTTACTATTATTATTATTTATATTTATTGTTCCTTCTACCAATTGATCATTTTTATTATAAATATTTAGAGAACATGAGGAAGATTTTAGTTATTTTCCTAATAGGCATTGATGACTGACTAACATGGAACCCACATACCAGACTTAAAAGACAGAAGAACTTAATCGACGATTTGTACAGTTATATAGACTACTTAACAGAAAATCTAACCTCTCACTTGGAAACAAACTATTAATATACAAGACCATACTGAAACCCAACTGGACATACGGACTTGAACTGTGGGAGACAACTAAATTTTCGAACATCAAACGCATCCAATCTTTTCAGTCTAAAATCCTCCGTATAATAGTCCATGCTCCTTACTATGTTACGAACAAAACCTTACATCACGATCTTAACATCCCTTATGTCGTTGACGTTATTCCTTCCCGATTCTCAAATTTTCATCAAAACCTCATCCATCATCCTATCCACGATCCTTATCCAGTTTCAGTCATCCCTGCAATCCTCCTAGAAGGTTGAAACGGCAGTGGCCTCGAGATCTTTTGTAAATACGTCATTGGAGTCATAGCAATGGCCAGCTTCTCCACACAAGTCATGAGTGTATGTGGCTTTAGTGCCCTCTCTTAGTTTCCACTGAATTCCCATCCTAGTGATACGGCTAAGAGAGAGGAGCTGGGATCTCTTTGAGTCTTGCCTTATCCTCCACACGTGGGGGAGTGTGCCCGACTCGGAGCTCCCTCTGCTGACAGTAAATTTTGTAAATAAGTATGAATGTGTTTTAATTTTTTTTTTTTATATGTAATGTTGTCTCATATTTGATTTATTCTGTTATTCCAAGTTTTCTTTTATTTTATTTTGTTATAACATTCTATTGTTTTTATTTTATTGTATATATGGTATGTTTCATACATCCCAAATACTCAATGCCCTTAATTGAGGTGAAATCTATTTTTTTTTCAATAAAAAAAAAATAGGCATTGATGAAAGAAACGTAACAAAAACATTTTTTTTTTCTCATGTTTGCTTGAAGTAAACATGATTTACTTATATCTTTATTATATTCAAAGCCATTATATCTTTCCAATATCCAAAAAAAGTTTGTTTATTTAAAATGTTTGAAGAAAATTATCCTCGTTTAATAAGTTTTAAGTACATATTAATCAAGTTATGGTTTAAGAAAATAATTAGAAAAAACAAAACAAAACTGACTATCGAAGTTCAAGCTTGTTATATACAATTTCTATACTAATATTTGAGATCAATTTTTTTTTAACACAATTTGATAGAATCAGAAATGCTAAATGGTCAAGTAATATAATAATAACCCAGTAACCAACTACGACTGTTATCACTATTTATATTTTATTGAGTGCTATTTTTTATTTATACGTTTTTTTTAAATGTCAATAAATAAACACAATAAATTAAACTATCATAATAAAACCATTTAAGAATAATGTTTGTTCTTATTAGATTGTAGGATAATCTAAAGCTATAAACAAATATTACATGATGTGATCATATATATACAATATTTAATCGCAGTCTTAGGACGTCGCCTTGTTAAGGCGGCAAAAGATCTACATGGAATGTAATGCAAACAGAAAATAAAAAAAAGTCTTAGGACTTAACCTTGTTATGCATTTATCGATAGCATTTTAATAACATTTGATTTTAAAGTATCTTAAATAATCTGAATTAGACATGCATTTAATTTCATAAGTGTTTCAGTAGTTTTTTAAAATTAAGGTTTTCAGTTGTTTTTTTTTTAGTTTTTAGTTTTTTTAGTTTGAAAGTCATGGCCAGAGTTAATGTAGTTTCGGTTTTTTAAAAGATATTGTAGGTATGTAGTACTACCCTCCTTTAAAATAAAATATATTAAGAAGATCGTAGATTATTTTAATTCGTAGGTTTGTAGTAATAATTAGTGAACCTGGATTTCAAACAAATTTTGAACTTAATATATTCGGAGTTATATGTTGTTTTTAACTTTCCATTTCATACATAGGGTGTCCCGAAAAATAGTAAATTTAAGTTGTTTTTTTGTTTTTTTTTAAGTAAATAACATTTTTTCGTCGAAAAGGAAGCGATAATTAATAAAATATTTAATTTAGGTAATTACCAATTGCTTCGCAGTGAACTATACAAAATTTACATATCATGAATGTAGGTTTCGTCATTGTAAACTCCATTTAAAGAGCCTGTATATATTATGACGTAATAATAAGTTAGATATTAAGGAGTGGGGTAGCTCAGGGGTATGGCGCTGAGCTTTTAATGCTGAAAGTACCAGGTTCGAATCCTGGCTCATGGAAGAAACATTATTTATTCCATTTCATCTGCCATGAGAGACTCTGGGATAGGAGACCCTCCTGGGGCACACCCAGCCTCTATAAAGTGGGTACCCTTAATTAAATTATTAATTAAGGGGGAATCGTGTCGGTTGAGCGTGATCTCGGTCAAATCACCTGCTTGTACATCCGTTGACCAAGAAACAGTACTTTCCCTAAATAGTACTGAACCCAAGACCTTTCACGGTTTTTAGTGGTACAGGTAAGGTAATAACGTAGGTATTATAATATATAATACTCCCACCCATACACATATATTTAATTTTAATTTTTTAGATAACTACAATATGTTCCAAATAACACCATTATGGAAACACTGAAAGGACCATTTAACGTTCTGTACTTCGTATGGAGTTCGTATGGGCACGTAACGAGAATGGTCTACATAACCATGGTCCGTTGGAAGGGAGGAAGAGGAGTCAACCAAAATAGAAATGGATGGAACGTATTTCTGAGGCGATCGTAGCAAGAGTACTTCAGGAGGAAGATTGCTATGATAGGAAGAAATGGCGACAGTGCATATTGGGCTAGGACGTAAGACCATAAAGTCTTTCATATATATATATATATATTAAATAGTTAATTAATATATACTTTTAAAGAATCATCAGATTCAGTCAGTAAATATATAATTATATCTTACCCACATTTCGCGACTTAATAATTCTCACACTAATGGTAATAATTTTTAATATTTCTTCTTAAAAATATATGTATTTTACGATATCAGATAAGGATACACAGTTCATTCACTCAGGGTGAAATGGAAATGCAACAGAACACCTTCACTGCCAAGGAAAACAAGAAATTCGACCTTAATACAACTATGTATATGGACCAACCGAATGGCAGTCTGTAGGACTAAGAGGCCGTTGGTTGAATGGGAGAAACATTCGAGTTTAGTTTCAATGTTTTAATTATTAAAAAAATATATATAATAAGACAGACCTATATTCATCTGTTCTTATTTGGCATCAGTGGATTATACCAAAAAGAAAGGAATTTAAAATAAAATTTCATTAAAAAGAACCAAGAACAACAACCATCACAAAAAAGGATAATTCTTGTTAATATCATGTTCGTGACTGACTTTAAATCAATTTGGAAAATGAATTTTAATCCATTTAACATTTAATATATTTTTTTCAATTAGCCACGCTAATGTTTAATGGGAGATAGATGAATTTAGGATTTTTCTTAAATCTGGCTTAGTGTGGTGTTTAACAATTAAGAAACTGTTCTATAAATAAATTAACACTTGAAAATCAAAATAATAACTCAATGTTTCATTTTTTTGGCATTTCGTTATTTTAACGCTTAAATTAAGACCGGCTTTACATGATCTTAAAAGCTTATTTTTTTATGTGTTAGCGATGTCTTCTGCGATTAATTTTTAAATTCCTAATAATTTATGGTCTATCATTATTTTTTTTTTTTTTGTGTTAAATAGTAGATGATATTTAAAAGGTGAAATGAGCTTAATTCCCTAGCCATCTAACAAAGATTGTTTTTTAAATTTACTTTAGATATTTGTGCATGAAGTATAAATCAGTCGCCCATTTCGAAAGAATGTTAAATCCTTTTGACTAACAAAATTAAACTAAGGAGAAAAATTATTTGTAATTTGAAGTTATTAATTATTGATAAGTAAAATTTGCATAAATACTGTTTAAGAGTTATTATTTCTGATTTTCATCACCTGGCAGTAGTGTTGCCCAAATGCGAGACCAAGACGAGTCTTGGTCTTGCGCAAGAGTCTCCCAACAGTCTTGCAGTTACCTATTAAGCTATTACTATAGAGATATTACAGTAATTTTTACGAAGGGGGAAACATAACTTGGTCGAAATGAAAAATTGAAAGAGTTAAGGGCAAAAGTATACTGATTATACCAATTCTTTACATTTAGTAACTAAAATTGTCATATATTTGCCTTAATTTTTATTCTTCAATACGATTTTTTTTTACAAAGTGCAAGACCAAGACCGATTTTGGGCAACACTACCCGGCAGTACGGTAGCATTTTTCATTTATCGGAATTTCATATTGTAATGTGTGTTATGATACGCCATAATTTTATCTTTGGATACAACTTAGTATGTAGTGTAAAAAAATGTTTTCACTTATTAATATAAACAAATATCAATTGTAGATTTCATTACAGTCACATCCTGTATATATCTGTGATGAAATCAATGTTTATATATATAGACCAGTTTATATATATATATATATATATATATATATATATATATATATATATATATATATATACATACATATATATCCACCACAAGGTAGCTGAGCTTACAACCATGACACGAGAGGTTGGCCACCGATTATTTGGTCAGTGTCAAGGCGACATACCACCAACTGGCCTTAGATCCGGCCTTACTGAAGTCGAGAAATACCAAAGCTTAGCGGTAAAAAAGCGTTTTTAAACCAGTTATAATGGCAATTTATAGTCTGATACAAAAAAAAACAAAACACGAAATTGGAATCTGGAATAATAATTTTAAGACATTCGTTCGTCTTCATCACTAAAGTTTCATCTACATCTAGAAGCAGAATATTTTAAGAATTTATATTTCATTAGCTAATCGTCAATATTGAAAAGTTGATAGAATTATTCACAACCTTCTTAATTTACTTTTTCTTTTTTCATTTTATTATCACTGATTTATATCTACTTTCCCAAAAAGTATTGATATCTTATTCGATAGAATAAAACACCTAATATGTATATTTAAAATGTATATTTATAGACCAACAAAAATAAAAAGTTTTGATTTTATGTTTTGCCGTTTTCTCGGTCTAAATTTCAGGCCTTCATCAGAACTGAGGAAATAAGATAACAACAACCAAGATATATTACAAAACTATTATAAAAAGGCATTAAAACAAAAGATATGTTAACTGTTTATAAATAAATTCTAGGAATCACAAAAACATTACAATATTAATTCGAATCTCGTCTGCTTAAACCTTCTCAATATTATAAAATTATTTTTCTTTAGTAAAAAGATACTAATAATTAATTTAATATCATTTTTACAATGCCTATATTTGGATTTAACTATTAAAAACCTTCATAAAACCTCCAGCCTGGGCAAACCTCAACAGGCTCACTCTGAATGCCAAGAAGAAAAAAGCCATCTTGATCGGATCCGCTTAAACCAACAACTTCCTGTCCTACAGTTTCCTTTAACAATACTCCACTTATCCCTGTTGAGCAAATCCGATACCTAGGACTCCACCTGGACAAACGACTAACTTGGAATCCTCATACTAGACTGAAACGACAAGAAACCGCTCGACGTTTCCGATTACTTCAGCACTTACAAGACAAACGCTCTAAACTTCCAATTAATTACAAAAGACTCATATACTTGACTATAATAAGGCCTATTTGGACTTACGGAGTTGAGCTATGGGGCTCCACTAAACCATCGAGTTCCTCTCGTATCCAATCCTTACAATCCAAAATCCTTCGTAAAATCCTCAATGCTCCCTACTTTGTTACAAATAAAACCATCCATAATCACCTTAATGTTCCTTTTGTTTCAGATCTGGCCCAAACCAGATACCTATCCTTCCATTATAAACTTCAGAATCACCCCAACACTCTCGTTTCTAACCTTGCTTCCTCTTCAATTCCTGATAATCCTCCTAGGCGTCTGAAAAGAAGATGGTCCCGTGATCTCCTAATGTAAACATATCATTAGAGTGCTACCATTGGGTAGTTACTCAGCAAGTGTTTTTCATGTCATTATATACATTATGTTCAAATTTACTAGATGTATTTATTTAATACAGTTGCTCACTCCTCAAATCCTTCCCGGTATTCCCCAATCTCCTCCTGAACAACTCGCCTATCTTATTCCGTACTACTGTTAAAAACCTACGTTTTACTTTTGATCAAACCCTGTCCTGGAAACCACACGTCTCCCAAATTTCCCGTCGCATTATCTCCACCCTAAAACAGTTCTATCGTCTACGTTATCTCCTTCCATATAAGTCTCGTCAACTCCTAGTTTCCTCCCTTGTTTTCCTCCATTTCGACTATGGCTGTATGGCGTACGGTGGACTCTCGTGAGATTTCGAGGCCAAACTTAAACGCCTAATGAATTGAGCATTACGATTTGTTTTCGGAATCTCAAGAGATACGCATATTACCCAGTATTACACCGAGTTGAAGTGGCTCTATCCATCCTATAGCCGTCAGTACTTCCTAGCCACCTTTCTGTACCAGATCATTAGAACACATCTACCCTCCTATATTTTTCACAGCTTACAATTCAAATACTCCATCATAGAGAAATAAAAATGGTAAGTTCAAAACCAAAAATACATTTAGTTTTCAGATTTGATAATTACACGAAATAGTTCCCTTTTTATCAAATTATCAACATCGATCTAAAACTTCGTGAATGTCTTCAGGCTTCATCTTATCGTAACAATTTTTTTATCTTCTAAAATTCTCAGAAATGGAGTGTTTTCTTATTTAATTGATTAATTTAATGAGGTACTAAAAACTCATTTGCTTTCCGATTGAATCGTAAGACAATTTGATCACGAAATCGATTAAAAAGAAAGCCTAAACAGATATTGGACCCTTTGGTCTATATAACCTCGTTATTTTGACCTGTTGGGGAACGTTTTTCTTCTCGACTTTGTGATCGAATAATCTAACGATTCAATTGGAAAGCAAATGAATGTTTATGAGTTTGCAGTATCTAGTTAAAGAGACATAGTTTAACGATCTCCAGATTGAAAACCTTCCAATGCCGAGAATTTTCGTAAATAAAAATGTTGCAGGTAACGATGAGATTATGCTATTCACGAAGTCTGATAAAACGGGGTCTATATCACGGACTAAAATCTTATTTTTTCCATAAAGATTTTATGAGTTGTTTCCAGAAGTATACTATGGCTTGAATAGGAATGTTCTCAATAACGGAAATGTTTTGGCTCATAATTAAGCCAGGTGAAGTCCTTCGATGGTTTCCTGGACGGAAGCTTCCTGTCACTCCTACCTTACTGTTCATGTAAATTCAAGGCCATCATTTTCTTATATTGGTCTTAAGAAATTGGAAAGTGCAGTAATTTTATATTGTAGTGTACAGGTGTAATAGTTACACTGCTCATATGTTTTTTATCAGCATAGGTGCAGATTTTTCAATTTTTATTGGGGAAGGAGGGACGATGGTTCAAAGAAAAAAAATTAGGGGATTTTTTATTATTTGTTCAAATTCAACATAATTATTGTGAAACGAACAATTATAATAATGATTGTTTAAAATTATTTAGTTTATGTCTTTGTATAATTTTTATTTTTATTTATTTTATTTCTTTTCACTTACTATATTTACTTGATTTGAAAGCATGGAGAATAAAATGCGAACCCATGGGGATTCAGTTGAAAGAAAAGGTGTTCCTTAATAACCTATCCTTCGCAGATGACCTGGTCATCATTGCACAGGACGCAGAAGATGCTGAATATATGTTAAGAAAATTAAATGAAGAATATCAGCAGTGGGGACTAGTTATTAATGCGGAGAAACCGGAATACATGGCATTCAATAATGAGGATATAGAACTGAATCCAGGAAGGGTTCTAAAAAGAATAAAACATTTTAAATATCGTGATTTCATATGGCAAAAATACAATATCAATGCTCAACTCAGTATTATGGAACCGGAACATTATCCCCAAAACAAAAGAAAACATCTACAACAGTATAGTACTGA